TTAGGCATGAGTGAACATCACGGGAAAGCTGGAGCTGAGAGTGTGGGAGGAAGATGAGAGGATAGGGAGACAATCTCAGCTGGAGGAGTCTGGAAAGAGAGCCAAGGGAGCAGAAGAAATGACTGTCAGGTAGCTGTGGTCTAGAAAGGACTTGAAATGAAAAGGCAAAACTGAAAGGCACATTTAGCAACTGGGAGAGAATTTTGAGTGAGAAGTGACATTGTCAAACCAAACCTAGTGACAAAACATTTTCCAGCCGTGTTTTGGAGTAACTGGTAGAAAAAGAAGGCAAGGACTTCAGAGTGGAATCTGGTAAGGTACAATTATTTTGTGAATGACTTTGGGGGAAAGATTGGAGGTTTTCTTACTGAATTTTCAGATTCTACAAAGCTGGGAATGATTACTAATACATTAGACAGAATCATGGCTTTTAAAAGGTATGAATATGGGGGCCTAAAGACAAGAATATTATCTCAATGGTTTAAAATGTGACATAATACACTTAGGCCTTTTATCAAGTTATGTTATTACAAGTACTGATTCAACTTGTAGGTCTTAGGTCATCACAGGATAAATGTGGCCAACCCTGTGATGTTACTGTTGACAAGAAATTTTAGAAACAGAGTATCTGACTAGTATCAGCAATTGTTGCAAGCAATTGGTTCAAGTACTGGGCAATGGTAATTTACAATAATAAATTAGGAAGATTCCCCGAGGGTAACCAGAATGTTAAGAATGTGGGCAGTACTTGGGAGCTACAATGAAGCTCCTCCGAGAACCTGGAGACAAGATTGCCCTTTGAAGATTAAACCAAAAAAATCCACTTATACAAGTGGGATTAGCCTGCTACAGGGCTACTCCAAGATACTATCTGCACACAGGTGACCCTGTAGGTGAGTTAAATGTAATCTCAGGGAGGTAGAGCAGGAATGTGATTGTAGTAGAGCAGGAAGAAACCTAATCAATAATCATATTTTTTGTCTAGAGAAAGACTGGGTAAATAGACGTGGAAAGAACAGCATGGAGCACACAAGAATTCTGACAGACATAAATTATAATCTTCATTGTAGATCAATAAGTCAGCATCCTAATTTATATTTTTGAGTCTTACGTTTGGCTAGCATGATTTGGGTAGCATTTCCCACGCACTGACAGAACTGAGTTTCCAGACCTGAGACTGGAAATGTGATGTGGTGTCTTCTTTCCCTGCCAAAGGCCCCTTCTTTGTCATGAGAAACATAAGGACACTAAAGATGTTTAGCTGAGAAGAGAGAAGCCAGAGGTGAGACTGACAACACTGTCTTCGTATGTTTAAAGTTCTTCTTGTAGGAATAGAGGTCACATTCTTCTGATTGTTGGGGCAAAGAACAAAACAAAGCACAATAAACAGAAAACACAAAGAGAGAGATTTCATCTGGCCAAAAGGAGGCGCAAGCGAACAATTTGAACTTCGAACAGTGGAACAGCTCTCTCTCTGTCAGTTAGGATTCTCTGGACATAAATAACAGAAAGAGTCTGGATAACTGTAGCAAAACATAAAAGACTAATTGAAAGGTATGAGGTGGCTCACAGATTGGAAGGAAAAGCTGAAGGACCTGGCCTTAGATGGGCAGTGACTGAGGTGGCTATGGTGGTGGAGGGGCAGCAACCAAAAGCCTGCTGCTTTGGGGGCACCATCAACATGATAAATCACCCTCTGCTGGTTTCTTTCCTAGAATTACTGGGAAAGAAATTCTGATTAGCATGGCTTGGGGCAGGTGTCCCCACTCCTTCCCTCCCCACTCCCCTGGCAAGGGCAAGGTAGGGAACCTTAACCGAAGGCCCCATCAAGGCTTCAGGCAATGGAAAGGGGAAATCTATCAAAGGAAAATTGAGAAGCAGGAGAAAATATCAGAAATCTACTACATTTTCATCATTGTGAATGCAGAAGGAGAAGATACCTATTTGTCAGGAATCCTAAAAAAGGTATTTCTGTGCTAGAAGGAAGTTTGAACAGATGATTTAGAAGGTCCCTTCAGTTCCACGTTTCCAAAGAGAAATTAAGAAGTGGAATTGATAACTAAGATCCAGGGTCATTAGGAAAGGACTGAAAGGAAGAGTTGCTCCTGGTCATAAGGAAAGGAGGTGACACAGGAAGGGGGAAGTAGCCGTGAGTACGCATGCTGGTTCCATGGACCAGTCGCTGGCACTGGTCATTGAATGCCACGGGCATTGAAGCCTCCTGGACAGGTTTTGCACAATTGAGAGACATGTAATAAAACCTGGTCTGGGAAGTTTAATCTGGTAACTATTGGTAGATTGAACTAGAGAAAGTCAAGACCAAAAGCACGGAGATCAATTGTTTTGAGGGCCTGAGCCCGGGTGACAGCAGCAGAATGGGGACAGAAGGAGCAGAGGAGGAGGCAGCTCTCAGGCAACGTCTACAGAATGCACAGGGGAAGGAGAGAGGGACGGAGAGGGGCCAAGAGCGACTCCAGTCTCAAACGAGGAGCTCTAGGAAAATGATAGTATAACCGAAGAAACGTGATCACTTTCAATTTAGATATATTGCGTTTGAGGTGATCAACATCAACTAGTGTAGACTTGAAGCTTAGGGAGAGATGTCAAAGCTCAAAACACAGATGTGGGATTCTGTAATGTAGAGATGGCACTTGAGGTTATACGAATCGATAATTTTCTATAATAACAGAGTATAATGCAAAACGGCAATTATGTCTTTTTAGAAAGAAGTAATCACTATGAGCTAGAACCACGAGAAATCATTCCAGGAATAATGAAACTTGAGCTGGCCTTTAGAGGAATGGAGAGTGAGAGGGAACTCCACATGGAGACAAGTTTACAACTAGAATTGAGGAGCAAATTTAAAAATTAGGTTGATGTGCACGAGCCCCTTAAAAAATGATTCTTTTTATTCTACCACCCATGTGCTCTATGCCCTGGTTACCGGCAGAAGTGGAAGAAGTGAGATGTGATAGAAGTTAGTAGAGGGGCCGGCCCCGTGACTGAGCGGTTAAATTCGTGTGCTCTGCCTCAGTGGTCCGGGGTTTGCTGGTTCGGATCCTGGGCGTGGACGTGGCACCACTCATCAGGCCACACTGAGGCAGCGTCCCACATGCCACAACTAGAAGGACCCACAACTAAAAATATACAACTATGTACTGGGGGTCTTGGGGGAGAAGAAAACAAGAAAAGAGAAGATTGGCAACAGTTGTTTGCTCAGGTGCCAATCTTTAAAAAAAAATAAAAAAAAAAGAAGTTAGCAAGAGAAAGAACAGGAGAACTGCTGGCTCTCCAGACCTGGCTGGGGGATGCTGATCAGAGGGCTTAAAGGATGGACAAGGCTCCTGATGACAAGGGACCTGCCAGCCTTAATGGTTAAAAGTGAGGACATGCGGGAGCAGCCCCGTGGCCAAGTGGTTAAAGCTCCATGTGCTCTGCCTTGGTGGCCCAGGGTTCGTGGGTTTGCATCCCGGGTGCAGACCTGCTCCACTCATCAGCCATGCTGTGGAGGCATCCCACGTACAAAGTAGAGGAAGATTGGCACAGATAGTAGCTTAGGGCTAATCTTCCTCAAGAAAAAAAAAGTGGGGACACAGAACTCACCAGTCCTAAAATTCTGAATTTGACATCTGTGAGACCAAGCAATTGATGAAGGAAACAAAAGAAATCACTGACACTAGTGACCTCTAGTGGAAATAGGCTTCAGGGAACTTAGAGAAAGATTTTCTACTAGATTAAATGAAAAACGGTGGCATGTTCAGCCAATTTATTTCCAGAGGAGTGTGAAGGATTGGGCTGCTGAAAATAGCACACAAATCCTACCCAGAAAGTGGAAATGTACCAGGAATACTTTGTATTTTGAGTCAGATAAAGTTGATTCATGTTCTGGAAAAAATGTGGACACGTAGTTGCTGTCAAAGACATTACCTGGGCAGAGAAGAGTGGTTGGGCAGTGGGAGGATTTGGCGTGTTAATGGCAGCCAACAAGAGAACACGCTGACAGGCTCGAGGAGGAAGCCACATTGGTTGCTAGTATGCCTTTTAAACATCTCTTCATTAGAACATGGAAGAAAGCTGTTATCTCTGAAATAGGCACACATTTGCTAATACAGTATTCTATGGCTCAAGTTACATCTCTTTCCTCTGCCCAGTGGGTGTTTGTGTCAAGCGCTGGCAAACGCTATTGAGCTGGGAGGATGCCAGAGGATGCTTGGTGGCCTTGGCCTTTGAAATGGGACCAATCTTAGGGAGGGTCGAAGCATGACCAAGAAGGTCAACATCAAACCATGCAGGGCACTCCACGTCCACCCTCTTTGGGAGTGCTTTCAGAATATATTATCCCAACACTGAGGAGAGCAGAAGAGGGGGAGGGGTGTTGGAGATTTTAAATTTGTCTGATCATACTGGTGGCTAATAATGGGTGAGTTAAGTTAAATAAGGAGAGTGGCCAAAAAAGGAGTGGAGGAAAGATAAATAAAACAGAGAAGATATAGAAGCAGACAGTCCACGTTTTTAAGCCCTGGGCAACTGTCACTTCTGGCAGCAGAGTGATCCTTGTCCTTGTCTCATATTCCCTGCATGGCAGGAGGTGTCATCCTTCCTTCTTTCATTATTCAGCCTCCACAGCACACCCTGCTTCATTCACTGACGCTGTTGTGCAGCTTGGCAGGTCTGCTGTTCCCCAGATATGCCCCCTCACCTCTCCATGTTATTTCAAGGATGCAGAAAGAGCCCTTAGATAAGCTTTTTGTGAGAATTCCACCCTGGCCTGCAATTTCTAGAGTTCTGGCCTCTGTGAGTGAGCCTAGCTGCCCCTAAGTCAGTGACTTCCCTGGTGTTATTTCTTAGACGCCAAACTAAACCACAGAGCAGAGTTGAGAAACCAATATTAGTCGTCCCTTCCCTTTCCCCTCCAAAGATCCTTTCCCCAAGATATGTACAAGCATTTGGCTCTAGAATAGGTGATTTCAAAGATCTAGTCTAAAAACTCGTTTACTTACTGAAGATGAGCTAATTATTTTAATTTGCTCCAAAGCTTCTGTCAGGCTGTCTTCAATCTCAGAGTCATCTAAGGAGAAGAGGTCTCCAGCTCGTGAAAGATTTTTTTGTCCTAAGACCAGCCTGAACAGTTGATGCATGATGAGGAATGTGGTAATCCTTGACTTTCTATAGGCCCAGGGCCGTATGTTTCCGTCATCACAGGTTAATAGGACAAAAACACGTAGCAGGAGGTATACGCCGTATTCCTTGAAATGTCATTTTTCTCCAGACGTTCAGGTCTTCTTTGACACTCTCTGTAAGAGAAACAAATGACAAAATATAGCCATTAGCAGGATGGCGTGAGCTCAGACTGTGAACTTGGGGCCCAGCAGAGAAAAAAAAAAGGAGACATTTGGAAATGTGTGTAGAGTAACAGATCCCGGCTTGATGATCTTCAAACGAGCTCTTTCCTTATTTTTGTCTCAAAAAGTCTTGTCAAAAATTATTAGGTTTCTCCAGAATTTAATCTGAGCCTTAAAAAGCAGCTTAAATCCCACACTTAGTTTTCTTCTTTCCATATCCTTGTCCTTCTCTCCGTGCCACAAGGAAACAAGTGGACAAGCAACAAACAGGCCCAACACTTGCCAGATTTTCCCCAAACAGATTCCCATGAAAACCAAACAAAAAAGGGCAGTGAAAGGAAAGAAGAAACACAAGAAACATCTTTTGGACCCGCTGCCTGGTGTCCTCTTTTCTCTGGGTGTGGAGACCAGCGCTCACCTTCTTGGCGGGGTTTCTTTCCCATACTGACAACAGAAGCTGCCCCGACCCTCTGTCCAGAAGGTGATCTCAATACTCGCCTTATTCTTATGTACTCTCTAAATGAGTAGCAGTGAAACAAAGGACTCTGCCTAGGAGTATGAAGCCAGATACTCTCTACTGTACGTGAGTGTGAACTTGAACTTGAACACTGAACTTGCAAGTGATAGCAGTGCAATGCAGGCTGAAGAGGAAGGGCTGCGGGTGAGGCAATCTCCCCATTCCCACAGTTGAAATAATGAAGTCCCTCTGTACTTCTTACTCAATTAGCGGTCCACAGAGAGTAGGGCACTGGCACAAATTAAATATCTGATTATTTTCATCAGCTCCCTTCTGGGCTAATAAAACCACAGACCATTTGCACTGGTAGAGACCTTAGCAATCAGTTAATGGCCAGGGAGATTCATTGACTTCCCCAAGGCCCCATGGTAGCTGTGGCAGTGCTGTTCTCCTGATTTCTGGCCAGCGGTCTTCTGCCACGGTTAACAGTGGAGTGGAGTCATTACATACAGGCAGGTAACTTACAAATGCAGCCACGTGCGCAGACAGTGAGAGCAAGAGAGGGTCATTTAATACAAGCGAGAGGCGATTCTGTCCAGCCGTTCACCCTGAATGTGTTTCCAAGAACAAGTGTGAAAAGGGAGAGGGGCTCTGCTGCCTCCTTGGGCAGTCTTCCTCTCTGAGGGATCGCGTGGGAACGCCTTTCTGTGCTGAATGCAATTTTACAGTTCAAAGGTACATGCTCTCCATGCAGTATGGTCTCAAACACAAGCCAAATCCCTCACCAGGCCCTCAACGAAATAAGCTATCAGTAGCATTCCAAATGGTGCAATCTGTGGGCCATGGAAGGGATTCCAAGGATAGTATAACCCACACGCAACTTTGGTGCTATTCACCAGCTTTAGAAAAATAACGCCTGACACTTACGTATGCTTGTCTGTGTGCCAGGCACTGTGCTGATACTTTACAAATACTAACTCATTTAGCCCTCTTGATAACTGTGTGAGGTTATTTCATCCCCACTTCGCAGGTGAGGAACCTGAGGCATTACTAACTTGCTCAGGCCACACAGCTAGTAAACTGAATAGCTGGGGTTTGGAGCCAGAGAGTCCAGTGCTAGGCTCCAAGTTCATAACCACTACAGCGTGTGGATTCCAAGTGAGGCTACTCCTAGGAGTAAAGGCCCTCAGAGCCTTGTTAACACTCGAGGGTGAAGACACAGGCAGGGTCATAAAGCAAGAAAATGAATTCCTCTTCCCTCCTTCGCTGATCTGCATCCTTGCCCATCTATGCCCTGGAACTTAGGTCAACCTGAGAGCAGGAAAACCACAGTGAGGAGAAGCTTAGAGGAAGAGGACAGAAGGAGAGAGGTGGGGAAGGCTTCAGGGGGTGTGGAGAGAGCAGAGAGAGGGTCCTACAGAGTAGTTTGCACCCTGGCAAATGTGGAAGGGTGAACTGAAATATCTATAAGACAAATTAGGGCAATGCTTTCCTGAATTTTCCCCTTAACACTTTGTCTTCCCCTCAGACATTTGCAGTGACAGAGTCTCAGTGAAATAATATTCAGGAAAAGAAGACAGTGAATGGAAATGACTTCACCTCGTCAGCTTGTTGGCCAGTATCTGACACTTCCTTAGGCAGATTCAGCCACCCCAGACATTCCAGAGCTAGAGCTCTGAGAAGGAGCAGAATACTCTGGTGGGGAGAAGCCCCCCAGGCTTTTCCGGGCTCCTTCTTTACTCTCCACACTTACACGACACCTGGGGAGGAGACAGTCATGCTTCCAACTTCAGCTGTTACTCTTGAGTGTCCAGTGTGTGCAAAACATGATTGTTCAACACACAGCCGTACGTGAAAACTTTCATACGTCCGGGGGTGGGGGCGGGAGAGATGAGACTTGTGCCAAACATTCCACAATACAAGGATGACAAGAGAAAAGTCTCCTAGGTACCGTAAAAGGAAGTCTGGGGAAGTACAAGGGAGAGAGAGATCTCTCCTGGGGGAAGACGGTACAATGGTTTTGCAGGGGACATGCTGTTTGAGCTGGGCCTTTTAGAGTACATTTCATTCAATGCATGTGTGAGGAGTACATACTAAGTCAGCTGCTTGTCTGAGGACCCAGATTCAAGACCCAGCCCAGCCACTCAGCAGCTCTGGGACCTTTGGTTCATTCTTTTCTCTTCCCTGAGCCTTAGTTCCTCATCTGCAAAATGGGGCTAATGCACGCCCAGTCCATCGCATCAGGCTGTTTTGAAGATCGAAGTTGATAACATGTAAAAGGGCCCTCTGCAAAACAAGGATACCAAGAGCTGATGTTTAGTGGGTGTTTGCCACGTGTCCGGCACTACCCCAAGTGCTTCCCGAGAATCGAGCCACTTAATTCTCACGACAATTCCATGCCATGAGAAACTGATGTTCACCAAGCAAAATAACCAGCCCAGGGGCAGCTGGAGAGTAAGTTCAGAGTCAGAATTGAAGGCAGCTGGTCTCCCAGGCAAAGCCCTCTCAGGGCTGTGTATACTGGTATACATGAGCGTGTGTGCTAATCGTTGAGCTGTCTCCCTTCTCATCAGTTCTCATGGAAGAGCGCCCCCATGCTGCAGTTTACTGCCCTTTTCTGGATGAGGATCAGCAAGGCACGTTATTCATTTTTCAGCAGCTCTGGTCGATGTTTTGCTCAGGTGTCTGGCTTCTCCTGCTGGTGGTCTATTTGCAGCAGCAGAGAAGGTCAGAGCCAGAGCAAAGTGTATGTCATCTTCAGAGAAACTCCCCACCCGCATGAAAGTCATAGCCCTGTGGCCTACACGCATGTACACAGAAATACCCACCGTAAACACAAACACACCTATACACACACATGCATATATGTGCGCACACTCAGATGCTTTCCACGCACCAAGCTCTTTGCTAGATGCTTTCTTCTCTTAGTTCTCCCGTCAACCCTGCAGGTAGCTATTTTCACCAAAGAGGAAACAGGACTGGAGAGGTTAAGGTTACACCCAAGAGATTCACATCCAAGTAGGTCATCCTCCAAATCTCGTACTTTCTGTATTACAAAAAGTGGCTTATAAAATTCCTTCTTACTCCCAACTTTCACACTCATAATTTCTTTCCCTAACCCTTAAGGGACCTTAATCTGAAGCACACATTCTCATTATTCGGAGCATATTTTTTAAGTAGGTATTGGTTGACAAGTCAGGTTTCAGTACAGAGAAACAGACACCACAAAAAGAGAAACGAGTCTACACCAAGCGTGACGCATCTCAGGGAGCCCCAGCAGTCCCCACACTCGCTTTACCTGGTGCCACTCCTCACAGGCGCGCTTGCTGTTACTCAGCTGTGTGTCTGGAGACTGGGCGGGAGATCCGGCAGCGGACTGCGAGGGCACAGCCCGTGGAATCCACTCAGCTCAGTGAACCTGAAGTTGTTCATTTCGGAGCCGGGTGGAAGAATTCAAGGAATGCAGCCTGATGCCACCAGCAGCTCCAGAGCTGGTCAGGTGACAGGCTGCACCTCACCCAGTGGAGAGTCACCTCTGAGTGAAATGCTCTGTTTCCTGGGGCGAAACATAAAGCCTGCTCCAGTAAAGCAGAGTTGTTTTTAACAGAGAAAACAAAACTCCCTGTGTTCGTGAAAATCTATACTTTCCCTGGGAAGAATGGAGAAAAAAAACCCACAGAGGAAACGGTTTCAACAGGAACTGGAGCAGGTGAACGGGGTGGCTATTGGGAGCCATTTCACAAAGCCCAGAGAAGAGAGAACTGCGGCCTAATTAACACTCCCTCCCTCTCAAGATGTCACACACACAGTTTGAAACACTGAGCGTTTGTCCAGTGTGGGTCACAGCTCTTGAAGAAGTGATCCTCTTGCTCTGCTTCTAGTTAATATCGTCAAAAGTTTGAGGATGCAGGAAGTTGCTTATAAATGGAACAAACTTACTCAACAAAAATGCATACACTCTTTTTTTCCACTTTATTTGCTGGGAGGTTATTCATGAAAATCCACTGGAACTAGATATGTCAGATTTGTACTTTAAAATGTTGCAGCAATACTAGAGAAAATGTTTATTCTGCTTAATCTATTGACACTTCAGAGGAGAAAAAGGTACTAGAACTCTCCCTTGCTGTTTCAGTAATTAATGGCACGTTAAAAAAAAGTTTTATACTGTATTATTCTCTACTCCTTATTTGTCTGTTCCCGTAGAAGTTTGATTGCCCATCAGGTTACATATCTGCTGTCTGGGAAGCTGTGCTTTGGAAAAATTCCTCTGCTTGATCACTATGACGTAGACACTATGAATGTCACCCCCTCCCTGGGGATCCTGCCCCACAAAGGTGTGTGGTCAGGGGACCCCACACCTGCTACTGAGCCAGGTCATATGCTCCAGGAGAATGATCTCATAAATCTTCTTAGATGCCTGGTGATAAATCGTTTTTACACCATCTGTATATGAGATGTTCCCTTGAAGTCTCCTTTATAAAAATGGAAAAGCCAGTCATCCACGAATAGGTGTATTCTTTCATTAGTAATTTTCTGGCTTATAGATACTGATAAAAGTCTCCTCTTTTAATAGAACAGACTATATTTTGTTAGTCTTTCATCTTTTTCATCCTCTATTTATTATTAACGGCTCTTATCACTAGTTTTATCCAATTTTCTCACATTTTTAGAGTGTAGGGTCCAGAATTGGACATTGGGAATCCAGGAAGAAGAGCAGAGTGCTAAGAGTGCAGGATCTTGGAGCCAACTGGGTTCAGCCACGCCGTCACCTGCAGTGTAAACCTGGGCAGATTAACTGGCCCCTCTGAGACTCAGGTTCCTTACTTGCACCTGAGAATTGCGATATGGGTTGTTGGGAGGTTTGATAAGATTACGTAAAGCATTTAACACAGAGCCTGGCATAAAGCAACCAGACAGGAAGGAGAGCAATTACATCCCTAATGATATCATTCTTCTTATAGGTCATTCTTCTGTTAACAAGTTCCCATGCTATACTTTTTAAAAGCTAACATACTACTATACTGCCACCTAACATTGAGTTCACAGCATTAAAGAGACCTAGGTGTTTTCCATTTGTGTCATATTTATATCCTGGTTGTACTCTGCTCAAATCTTAAATCTGGGGAGTTCATGCACTGTCTTGAATGTGTCTCTGGATTTTTAAGGGACGGTCTCACTGCAGTGCGACCCGCCTCATGCCTAAACAGTGGCAGTGAGCATTTTCACAGAGTGGAAGTCGAATGGAAGGCAGTGTGTCTCAGACCCAGTTGGCTGGGTAATGCAAATACCTGAGTTTCCTGTGAGAGTGGTGCTCACTCCATGCTTGTTAGTGAGGAGGGCGTGGATAACTCTCTCCAGGGCACCAGAGCGTAATGCTCCTTACAACTTTTCAAGGTGACCTACAGTCAGTGGGCACTAATAAAACATTGCTGGTTTGCTCTATTCCACATCAGTAGATTCTGCTAAATGAAAATGCACACAGACCTGAGGACTTAGTCACCCCGCTATTACCCCATACCACCTGTGGAAAAAGCTGAAGCTCTTTGGGGGGATTTCAATAAACATTATTAACTCAGGAGGCCAATTTATTCTGAGAAAATTATCCTCTAGCTTCCAACTCCAGGTTAGGAGAGTCTCTAGTTTCTTCACTTCAGAAAATTCTAGAATAGTAATATTTATTTACATTATGCTTTGAACAACACTACGGTGCATCAAAGAATTCTCATTTTATTCATCTGTATTAAAAATGCACACTGACTATCTTAGACCCATTTAGGTTCTAGAAACTTTCAATAAAGTTCTCAGATAGATTTTCCCTTGAAAGAAAGGATTAAAGATTCTTTTCAAGGAGCATCTTTTTCACACAGTGTGAAGGAACTACAGGCGTTCCCATGGGAATTGGCCGCATACATTTCAGCCCTTCCCACAAGATGTCTATTGTTCCCCCGGCTTCTCGTGGTCCCTCCGCGGGACGCATTGCCACACTTTGCTTCTGCTGAACGGCTCTGAGGCTGGGTTGTTCCAAACAACGCTCAAGGGCTCAGCCCGATGCTTCTGCTGGAGCCCCTACAGCCTAACCGCGGAGCAGGCTTACTACCCTAAGCACAGACCAGAAATAGGTTTGGTGACCTCTTTAGGCAACAGCTCCAAAACCATTTAATTTTGAATACATATTGCAACTTATTGAAACACAAATAGATAGGAAATGTTTTTCTTCACCAGGAATGAGGGAAACATCTTCAAGCCTAGCAGTCTTTCTACACCGAGGATTTTGACCTGCCATCCTGTCATGGTGTGTGCATTTTCACCTGTGAATTCTGACTTTTCAGGTCATGTTTGCTCTGGAATTGATACAAATCTTGCTAAAAAAAAAATTAATTCAAATTTTGTGGGTTTGTTTCTCCAGAAAACATACCCAAACTCTCAAATTACAAGGAAAATTCACTGTTACATGTATCTTTATTTACATATGAATTCCATATATTAAACAACTGTATGACCAATTCAAGTAATGTCTTAAGTATTTTTTCTATTCTTTAAATTGAAAACATATATACATACCATGAAATCCAATAGTTGATCATTATAGCAATTTATGTATGTATTCAAAAGAACAAAAGAGTGGTTAGATCCAATTATGATTTGTAAGAGAGCTGAAATATCCAAGTTAAAAAATGACAATTTTTAAAACGGTAATGTTGACTGGCCAACCCCAGGACTGAAATGATGCTATTGAATTTTCTTTGAAAACCGTATAGTCAGAGCCAGTTCCTTTCCTGGTTGCAAAATGTTTCTTGAGGTAAACAAAAGTATGAAACAGAAATGAGCCTAGACTATTATGGAGCAAAACAAGAATGCACATTCTGTGAATCTAGGAGCATACTTTTCTGTTCCTGAGGCCTAGAGACATATTTTAATAACCCACAGAGAGGTGGCTTTTTACCCTAATAAGTGAAAAACATGCATACATGGCTAGACACACAACTCCCAAATGCACTTCGTCTGCATAATCAGCCAGCCCCTGGAAGTTTCTCTGCCCTACTCCCGCAGCCACTCCTTGCCTCACTCCAGCTTCTGACATTTACTTTAATTAGCTTTTGTTTTTGCTGAACAAAAGAACAGGAAAGAAGATAGCCATACCTCTTAGCACTGGAAACTCTGGCGTCATAGGAAACAGAAGGCAAAATGCTTGATGTTTGGAGCAAGTTGGCTGGAACCCATGACCACGCTCAGAGGTAGCCTGGCAGCCTCTGCCGACTCTGCCCTGTGGCAACAGCTGCGCTTCCCCGTGCAGCTTGTCAAGCCCGAGGTACACTTGGTTCCCTCCCCTGGACTCACCCTGCAGAATGGGCAAAATAGTATCTTCTCCCTCTCCCAAACTTCTGCTTCGAGCTCACAAGTGGCACAAAGCTCTGCTTATTTCTACAGGAGATTTACAGAAACTTCTCTGAGCAGATCAGTCATTTGAAAGAACTAGATTTGCCTAACAACCAGTCATTTAGGTTCTGTTAATGAATAACTCACTTTAAGGAATCAAGGGAGATTTAGGTTAATATCAGATGTGGGGCCTTTTATCAGGCAGGCATCAGCGAAAAGGCTTGGGAGGGACGGAGAGAGTGAAATGGTGGAATGCGATAGTATTTAAGCCAAATATAACAGAAGAAAAATACAACAAGGGAAGCAAAGTGGCTGGTGGGAAGGAGCAGGAAGTCTGACTATGCTTCGGGAATTGCTAGTGAAACACTGAACAACAGAATGAAGCGTGCCGGCTGGAGCAGGGCATTGTTCCAAGCCAGCACTGCTCTTTCTTGTGTCGCTCCAAAGTGCTCACTCACTTCCTTTCACCATCCAAATATGGAGCTCCTGTTCTCAGGCCTAAGACCCAGGGGGTCCTTTGCAATCACTCCTCACCTCCTCACGTCTCTCTCTTCTGAGGAGAATGTTCCTCAAACCTCTAATGCATAAATTAATTGGTGTGCCCAGTGGACTGTTGTATCTGCAGGCTCTTCTCTCCCCTGTTATGTGTGTGACATGGGCTTTCTCCCCTTATTGATCTGAGAGTTTGCCTACCCATAAAGCGATGGAATATTTCTGAGGCTCTTCTAGCAAGAATACTTGTTCTTTCAGTCAAACTAAGTTTGTGAGTGTGGTGGGCTAGTGCGGTGGGGAGAGTAAGGTGTGAGGTGCACAACCGGAAATATAAATATTTCCCTGTCACGGGCAGTCATGCTGCCATATAAACAAATCGCTGGTTCCATTAAACGGTATACTCACGGCGGGAGGAGGACTCTGTCCTCTGTTTACTGCCCAACAGCCACTTATCCTGCTTCTGGTAAAACTGTACCCAAATTTCCCATGGGAAACCCTGTCCTTTGGGCAGAGTTGACTCTCATAGACAGGTTAGATCTTAGCCAATCAGAGAAATTGCATTTCCCTGACCACAGCGATTAATTTAGGGGAGGTGTGTGAACCCTTCCAGCTGAATGAGAGTCATGACAAAGATGCATGTTTGGCTTTGGGGGCACAGAGTCTTTCCTGCTGGACCTGACAACAAGAAGATGCACGGTTTAGTTGCTCTTGCCATCTTGCCACCAAGAAAACAAATCTTAGTGACTTCATCTGGGTGCGTTAAACCAGTTGCCCCTAAACTTGATAAGATGTACCCCCCACTGTAAGCCACTTCCTTAATAGCTTAAGTGATTTTAGGCTGGGTTTTCTGCCATTGAAAAAGTTCTACCTGACAGAATCAGGTGAACCCAGGTTTGAGGGAGGTCTCTTCCGGGTCCCCACAGCATAGCTTCTTGCAAAGGAAGTGGACTAGGGGATTCATTAGGCACCAACTGTGACATCCATCCATGCACAGTTTTCATAAATTCCTTTGGGTAATTAGTTTCACAGAATATTGCCCCATCTTTATTTTATGATTTTTCCCTCTGTTCCTGCACAACCCCCTCCACTCTTCCCCCCACCCCTTGGCGTGCTTGAAATGAAGGACATTTTCTCTAACCACAGGCTTCCATAGACGACCAGCAGAGGGAGGCGGGAGAGGCCTGGGAAAGAATGTGGGCATTCAGTGGACCTGAAAGTGGGACTTTCCAGATTGATTCCTCTTAACCAACTGCCTGCTTACCTCCCCAGGTACTTCCACTTTAACCACCTGGACTTGTCTGGGCTTCCTACCATTTACAGTTTGACCTCAATAAACCTGACGACAGAGTCCTTCCATCCATGCGCAATTTTCATAAATCCTTTTGGGTAATTAGTTTCAAGGAATATTGCCCATCTTTATTTTTTTCCCTCTGTCCCTGCACAACTGCCACCACTCCTCCCCCGACCCCTTGGCAAACTTGAAATGAAGAACATTTTCTCTAACCACAAAGTCAGACTAAGATGC